CACTTCCGGTGAGGGTGCCCCAGTTTCTGTGGTTTCCAGTGAGGGTTCCCCAGCTTCCTGTGCGGGTTCCCCCACTTCCGGTGAGGGTGCCCCAGGTTCCTGGGCCTCCAGAGACGGTTCCTCCGCGTCGCCGGGGCCGCCCTCCGCTTCCTCTGAGCTGGCCCCGTCTCCACTGTCCTCTTCGGATTCCTCCAGGGACGGCGCCCCTCCTTCCTCGCTTCCGCCGTGCTCGCCGCCCTCTTCCTCAGAGGATGCCTCGCGGCCCTCCTCAGGCTTCCCTGGTGGCGGGCCCTCCGTGGCGGGGGCCTCCCGGGCGCCCCCCACCTCGGCGTGCTCTGTGCCCTCCGTCCCGGTCTCCACGCTGGCCTCGGGGGCCGGGCTAGAGCTGGGCTCGCCGTGGTCCTCAGCCCGCTCCCGGGCCTCGGCGTCGACGTCTTCGGCCCCAGCAGTCACTTCTGGGTCCGGCTCAGCCCCGGGGCTGCCCTCGCCAGCCCCTGGCCCAGGGCCACGCGCCTCCCCCATCGCCAGGCCAGCAGAGGCCCCCTCGGCGGCGTCGGGGGCCGCGGTCGCTGCTGCCGCTTCCCGCCGGGTCCGGAGGCCCGGGGCCGCCTGGTCTTCCACGGGTGCCCCGTCTTGCCCGGCCTCTGTGGCCTCTCGGTGGGCAGCTCCCTCTGTGGGGAGCCCAAGGCCAGGCCCTTCTTCCAGAGGGCCCTCCCCAGAACTAAGTTCTGGCCTCCCCTCTTCCCGGGGACGCCCCTCTCCTTCTGAAGGAAGGCTGCTCACACCCGCTGCTCCCGCCGCCTCCTCCCCAGGCCAGGCAGGGTCCTGGGGCACAGCCGACTCTGAGGCCGAGGCATTGACGAGGCTGGCTTCAGGGTCCGAGCCAGGGGCGGCGGCGGCGCTGGGGGCCCCTGAGGTGGTGTCGGGGCTCTCGGCCTCCCTGCCATCCGGGTAGTGAAGGGGCGAGGTCTGGTCTCGAGGCGTGGCCTCTGCATAGAGTCCCCGCTCCTTCTCCTCTAGACTGGCGTCTCCAGCAGAGAAATGACTCTCCAGCAAATTGCCAACATCTTCTGTGCCACCCGCAGCAGACACTTGCAGTTCTAAATGGTCAGAACACGAGTGGTCAGTGTCACGGGCTGGCACGGCTCTTCTCAAGAGTCTCCCTCAACCCAGCTCCCTCCTGGGAGCGGCCGCCCTGCCGATGGCGGGCGCACAGCCACGACCCGCGCCCTCCCTGAGGGAGACCCGGACGGCTCCTCGGTCCTGACGGCTGTGGCAGGCCGGAGCTTGGCGGAGGCCCCAGTCCTTCCTCCGCCTCGGGGCGGGGCACGTGCAGGGGGAGGCTGCCAAGCCAGCACAGGCGGGGCCGTCCGGCCCTTGTCAGTTCCTAGAGTCATCACCAGCGGCTTGGACGCGGCTACGGCACAGGGGCGAAAACAGGTGTGCGCGGGCCAGATCATCTCGGGTTACGCGGCAGAGTACTTAGGGGATCACTTGTGGCTCTCAACTGTATTAAGTCACATCCAATTCTGTCCCCATATGGGCAGGCATTTGCTGGCCTGGCTACCTTGGATTAGAAAGGACATGCTCAGGGGGTGGAGACACCGGGGCAGGCCGGGCCTGGGCTTCCCGTGGCCTCGGCCAACCCCTTCCCGGGGATCCCCTTCTAAGGGCCGAGAGCTTTACCGGGGCAGGAGGGCACCAGGAGGGCAGAGCGGGAGCAGGGGGCGGGGGCCTGGACTGTGCCCGAGACTTCTGCCCGGGGGTTGATTTAGTTGGAAAATGCGGTCAGAAGGGAGGACTTGGGCCTGTCCTGCCCACTCCGCTGGGCTGGGGCAGGAAGGCGGCAGAGGCCGTGGCGGGGCCCTAGGGGTCAGTAGAGACCGCCCAGCACCTGCTTGACTCACGGGACTTTTTCTGTGGACTCGCGGCTGCCTCTCTCACGGGGTGGCAGCAGCCCCGGCTCCCCGGGGACCAGGAGCAAATGTTTTCCCTTCGGCCCCCACAGAGGCCACCTGCCTCCCCTCTCAGAGGCCAGGGTGTGCGGGTGCTTCGAGCCGCAGCCCGCACGGCACACACCCCACCCAGCCTCCTGCACCACAGCTGCCGGGCCTCTGTCGTGTCCAGGATGCCAGGGGCTGGCAGTGGCCAGAACCCAGGACAGCCCCTCCCTGCCTGAACTTCAGGCCACAGTGTGAAGGGGCGCACCGGGAGCCCCTCTCACTGCCCCCTCTCCTCTCGCTGCCTGCACCTTCCCTCTGGCCTGGCCCTGGCCCGGCCCCTGTATTTTAAGACGTGACCCATCAAGAACTTCCCCGTGTCCCCGGGGCTGGGCGGTGGCCTGAGCCACAGCGAGTCCCCTGAGGTCCGCGGCGACACTCGGGTACACAGGGCAGCTGGGCCTACTCTTCAGAGCCCCGATTTCTCTGCCCGCGTGCCGATACCTCCCCGCCTCTGGAGGACACCTCTCCTGAAGCTCGCCGGGAGGCGAGGGGACGGCGGTCACCGGGCAGGTTAGAGGCTGGTGGGGGCCGTGTGCCCGCCACCAGGCAGGTCACTCCGCCTCCCGCCTCCCGCCCCAGCGCTTGCACCTGCGCCGCCGGGCCTGGCACCTCGGCCGGCCTGCACACCCGCTGCCAGAAGCCCAGGCCTGCTGCTCCCCACTGTGAGCTGAGAGCTGGGCTCACCCGCAGCCTCCAGCACAGGCTGGGGCCCTCCGACCTGGGAGCTGCCGAGCGCCGGCCCCAGCGGCGACCGGCAGAGTGCTGGGCACCAGCGGCTCGGGGTGTCCCGCAGCTGGGCGAGGAGCAAGCTGGGGCTGCCGGCCCCTCGTCCAGTCTGCTCTCCTGAGAAGTGCCGCCTGCACCCCCTCCCCAAGCCTGGCGCCCGCTGCCCGTTGGGCTCGCCCATCTGGCTCCCCTTCCCCGCCCAGAGGTCCTGGTTGATTTGCCCCAGGGCGCAGCCCCGGCATCAGGACCTTGGGGAGCTTGGGGTCCCACCTGCAAACTTGGCTCATTCCCCTCCCTTCCTGTGCCTGCTGGGGGCGCCCCTGCTGGAGGGCTTGTCCAGAGCTTGTCATCTGACCTTGGGACAGCCGTGGTCACTGCTTGTCTCTGGGGATTCCAGCCTTTCTAGACCCTTCCACGGTTGCTGAGAGTGATGGGTTGGGGATGGTGATGGGGTTGGTGGGGGGTGAAGAGGAGGATGGAACTGGGCCAGACTCCGGTTTGAACTTCGGAGGCATTTCCGATATCCACGAAGCTGGTGGGGGTGAGAGGGCTGTGCAGCCCCAAGGGGCGAGGAGCGGGCTGGGGGTGAGCAGGTGGGGGACACCGCTCCGGGGCCCGGCCGGAAATCAGCGTGGCGTGTGTGCGTGAGAGTGGAGGTGTGTTTACGTCCAGACCTTCCCCTGGTCTGTCTGGCTCTGGCCTCCTGCTCAGTGATTTGGAGGAAAAGATCAAGGATGATGGTTTTAAGCCCTGGGACCTTCCTTTCTGAGCTAAAAATAACTTCTCTGGTAGAAAGTCTCCGTAAAACAAACTGTCACCGGCCCCAGGAAGCAGCTGTGTCCCTGGGCCTGGCCTCCCCTGGGGAGTCAGAGGCCTCTGGAGCCTCTGACTGAAGTCATGAGGTCAGATCCAGGCTTCTCGCTCCCTCCCCTGCCCCCCGCCCCCCCGCCAGCATCTAGCTGAGGTTCCCTGTGGCCCGGAGGATGGGGCGCAGCGCAGAGCACTCAGGACACTGCAGTCTCGGCGCACCTGCGTGAGCTTGTCCTGCCTGAGGCCCTCACAGGCAGGAGCAGCCGCAGGTGGCTGACCAGGCGTCCCCAGCTCTTCAGGGGTCCGCCTCTCCCTCCTCACCCCACCCCCACCCCTGGCCCTGCCTCACAAACGCCCTGCTTTCTTTCCCATCCCAAAGCACTTTCCACTGGACAGACTCTGTAGTGGCCAGGGGCTTGGGGGGCCAGAGGCGGCCAGGCCAGGGAGCGCTGGAGGCGGCCCAGGATCGGGGCAGCTGGACGGAGCCCGGCGGGCGGCCCTCTCCCGGAGCTCTTCCCGTGCCCAGTAAGAGCTGGGGTCCCGTGGAGGGCCCCTCTCGGCACCCTGCCTGCTGCTCCGTGGCTGGCCGCCGCCTGAGCCGGAGGGACGCACAGCCCCTCCCAGCAGCGCCTCCGGACTCCTGCCCGCCATCTCCGACGACACAGGCGTCCTCGCGTGCTTCTGGTGGCCTTGCCGGTGCGCACGCAGACTCCAGGGCGGTGTCCTCTGCCGTCCTCCTCTGGGCAGTCCTCCGTGGCCGCGGGCGAGGCGGGGGGCAAGGGCCCGAGCCTCTTAGACGCGGGAGCAGGGTCCTTATCCGAGCAGCCGTTCCAGACCGGCTCGAACTCATCCAGCGGCGCGGCCAGGCTCCAGCGGGCGCCGAGGCCCCGGCGCAGGGTGACTCGGGCTGAGCCAGGGCTCCACGGGGGACTGTGACCGGCACTCGAGAACAGGCTCGGAGCCAGCTCGGCCCCAGGTGTCGGAACTTGAAAGGAGCGGGGCGAGGAGGTCAGGCCCGCGGCCTGGAGCCGGTCGCCCATGCTGCCCCTCCGGCCTGGGCTTATCGCGGCCTTCAGGACACGGCGTGAAGGCCACCGCCCGAGTCCCCTGAGCGCAACGGCCTCGGCTCGGCTCACGAGACTGCTCGCCCCTCGGACTGAAGTGGTGCGGCCCAGGCGACGCTGGGGCGGCAGGCATGAGAAGCCTCGGGCCGGAATCAGACACAATGATGCAGCCACAAAAACCGGGGGCGGGCACGGCACCTCCAGAGCCCCGCGCGCCGGCCCCGGGAGTCGGGGCACCAGTCTTGGCATCCCCCAAAGGCTGGCTCTTCCAGCAGCCCGGCCCCCACCAGGTCCCAGCCGCACCAGCCCAGGCCCTGTCAGACCCTGGGGTTCAGGGCGCCCGCGGGCAGACCGGAGCGGGGAGGGCTTGCCTGAGCACTCGCGGGTGGCCGGGCTGGGCCTCCCGGCGGTCCTTGAGGAGGCTCCCGAGGGGGGCTCTGCAGATGCCCACGCCTGGGGCCCTGGACGGAGGTGGCGCCCAGAGGCGGGGCTGCCCTCTGGCTCTCACCCTCTGCCCCGTCCCTCTTCCCCTCCGGCAGGCCGGGGCTGAGGGTGGGGCGGGAAGGAGGGAGCTGTTCTCAGAAGCTTCTTGGCCTCCTGGCCAGGCACCTAAAGTCAGGCTAATCCCACCAGGACAGCTTGTCCCTGGCTGGACGCTAAGCCCAATGGCTCACCCAGGGGACAGGATACAGTGACAGCAGTGCCCTCAGGGAGCCGGGACCTGGGGTTCCGGGGCCTCCGCGCCACCAGCAGTTTGAGTTTGCTGGTGAGGATCCTCTGGCTCCCACGAGCGATGGAGCCGCTGGTGCGGGTCCCTGCTGTCCAGCAGCCCCTGACCAGGGAGCCTCCGAGCCCCGGCCCCTGCCCACCCCCAGACCCCTCACCCCCACATAGCCCGTGCTCACACACACCACATCAGCACCCCACACTCCCCCACACAGTCAGGACAGCGGCTTCTTATCCAACCCTCTTCCTCCTCCCTGAAAAGCAGCTTTAGCCTTAAAGACAGTCAGCGGGGGTGCCAGTGTGCTGAGGTGCGGGCAGGCAGCCACGCCAAGACGCGCCTGCTGTGCGGGCCGCAGCGGGGCTCCCAGCCCGTGGGGGCGGGGCGCGCCTCCCTGCCGCTCGCCTGCTCCGCCGGGCCAGGCCTGGTCCACAGCTGGCCGGGCCCGGGCTCCAGGTTCACGGCCACTGCTTCTGCATCGCCTGGCCCTGCCCCAACACCCCCGCCAGGTGCGCACCTGCCTGAGGCCAGAGCCGAGCTCCCCTCAGGGCAGCCCTGGGCGTGGGGCTGGAGGGCCCAGAAAGCAGCAGCCCAGCAGAACACGGCCTGCGGGGCGGGGCCGGGCCATGCTGTCAGGCGCCGGCTGCACGGGGCCCCCAGGCCCCTCCTCCGGGAGCCCTGGCTGTGCGTGCTCTGGATGCAGGGCGCCAGCCAGTACCCCAGCTCAGGTGAGGCGGAACTGGAAGGACACGTCTGCGGGCCGAGGGCCGTGG